GGTAAATAAGGTTCTTCAAAAATAGTGTAGCTTACCTGCTTTAGCAATACGCAGGCTTGCATTTTTCCGCGTTTCCATTTTTATTTCCGTATTTATTTAAAGTTTTTATTTCATGCGCATGGGAGCGAAACACAGAGACGCTCAGTGTATTTTTCTTCAAATTAGAACAGTTCTTAAATATTTTTCTGTTATCATGCTTTCGTGTGCTCACAAGTTTACCTGCGTTCGTAGCACGTATTTCTATGCATTCCTGTGTTTACAACGTTGGCATTGTTCCAAAATCACGCACATTCTCCTTTCTCCCTATTTGCTGGAGATACAGTAGCTTTTTTTAAATACAATTGGTCACTTGCATCCGTAGCACGCATTCCTATAGAGTGGTATAGAATTACAGAGTATCCCTTGAGTCCACTGAAGTATTAGCACGCACTGTATCTTAGTACGTAGGCTGCGTATTCGACACGTATAAAAATACAAAATATGAAAACCCGTCCCGATTTTTTCAGCGCACACAACACAGTTCCAGGGTCATTTGGCGTACCACCTGGCAGCACTCCACGTACCACTACCGGTACGCGTACCACAGTTTGAGAACCACTGCACGAACAGTAATCCAGAGCAGAATAAACTCACATTTATCACATTTTGATGGTGAGATCACTGCTAAAAATCATGTCTCAGTTATCTTCAAGCGTAAGTATTGCAATATTTTAATGCATTGGTGATAATTTAAATATTTAAGTCTTCTTAAATACACAGTGGTTTACGACCATTTTATCATTGATAAAAAATGTGTTATTTTTAATAGCTTTTAAAATGAAAGGCTTTAATGCTAGCTGAAGTGTCTATTGATGTTCAGGTTTTCCAAGATGTTTTAACTAAGGTTATTTTCCAAAAAACAGGGAAAAATAGGAAAATATGATATGAGCAAGATCAACTGTATTGCATTTTATGTAGCTCACAGGTTTTTATTTAGCCTTGTGCTGTGAATGGCAGGAATTTACGGCTTTCCTCTCTCTGAATCACAAGCTGACATGCTGGCCTTGCAACACTCTTAGTCAAACGTTTAATCCTTTACCAGCGGGATGCTACCTGATGCCTTTGTGCTTGTGTTTAGCGTATCAGTAATTTTGTGTTTCTCAGACTGGGTAAAATTAAACTTAATTCATGATTCAAATTCTGCTCTGCCTATAAGCCCTTCAGCTGCTGCTTTGATAGGCCTGAGCTGCATGTACAGTATATGCACATTTTATCTCTGCTCTGTCCAGTTGGTCCCACCTCTCACCCTACTTCCTTCAAACCTCTGTCTACCTTTCTGAAATCAACGATTTAAAAAATTGTTCTTCGGACTGTAAATTCAGAACTGCTTTTATATATTCCTTTCTGTGCTCTCAAAGTTCCGTTATGGTATTATTGGGCCTTTAACCACCTTACATGTTAAAGTTTATTGGCAAACGCCTTCTCAGATGTACATTTCTAAGCATGGTTTAAACAAATGTCTCTCTCTAGCTTAAGTACATTCTTTTAGCTATGTGGTTGACTTAAATTTATCAAACTAACCGAAGTCCGTCCCTTCTGTCAGGAACTGGGCTTCACAGAACAGCAGAGCGTGCAGCTCCTGGACAAGTTCACCACAGTGCAGGCTGTCCTGGCATTTTTTCAGACTGGTAAAGGTAAGAACCTGATGGAGGTCAGACATGTGGACAGTTCCATTGGTGAATGGGGTGCTTTGCCTTCTTTGACCACGGGGGGGAGCAAGAAGTATCTCGAACACGAGTACTATCCCTCCAATATCAAAAAGCTGTGTGACCTAGTGAGGGTCATGGCCTCTCAGACTGTGTCCCAGGAGCACAGGGAGTAAGGAGGGATTGAGACAAGTGAGCCTAGCCAGCATGTCTTTGGAAAGTGGAAGGAAATAGTAGCAAATGCTGGAAGAACATGCAGACCTAGCTGTGTAAGTTTAAACATCAGCACCTGCAAATGCCTCAGTTGTTCTTACTGTTTATTGGACTGACCCACATTTCTGAGCTCACTCACCATGGCCAATCTACCTGAAACACCACTCCTGTATTTTTTTCCCCTGTCAAACAGACATCGTTATGATTCTGTGATGTTTTTTTTTCCTGTAATATGTCAGAATGAGCAAAGCTGCATGTTGTTTACCTGTTTTTAAATGCCAATACATCTCATTCAGCCAGTGACAGTGTGGTCACTCATGTCAGTCTGTCACCTCGTGTTCCACTTTTCAGTAGCTTTTACAGAACCAAACAGTTAAACTGACTGCCTTTTCTTTCCTCCAAGTCTCGGGTGAATTCGACACTTTACTGGACCAGCCTGAGTAAGCATGTTTCATTATGCCTGATATTACCCTGATTGAAAAGCATGACCTAATTAGATAGTCCCTCGGAGCACCCAGTGCCATTACCAGTTTAACTGGACGTCTTGTAGGCTATACCTGGTGACGCTTTGCAGACTATTAGAGGAAGGCAGGGAACTTACACTGTAATGAGATGTTGAAAAAAAACTATGAATTTTTATCAATTCTTATACCAATACTTTATTTCTTGAAGGAACCTTCAACTTCATTGAAAGATCAAAGTTCTTCTTTAGTATATATTCCTGATTTACAATTCTGTGCACTTTTTTCAGCACAGCTCCAGACAGAGACAGGCCTAGTGTTTGAAGTTGCCATTAAGTAGGAAATATCCTATCATTAATTGACACAGCTCACAGAGCACATACTGCGGTTCTAAAATGCCTTAGTCTACGCAGTTTGTTACCTCATATTAATACATTGCATTTATTTTAAGATTTTTATATAGACCCACTTGATTCAGCATTAAACCACGACATCCAGCTGGGTGAAGCACAGCTGCCATTATGGGCCAGCTGTCAGTCAGGTGGAGATGTGGGCAATTAAATGACTTCACTAATTAGATTCAGGGGGGGCTTTAGGATGGCCCGACTGAGCAATCGATACTGGAATTTAGCCAGAACACTGGGGTTAACCCTTACTCCTGTGAACGGTGCCATGAGATCTTTAATGGCAAAGCAGGCAAGATCTTGTTTTAAAGACTCATTCATTGGATGGCACCTCCGAACTCCATATCACATTGGAAATTGTTTATCATGAAACGCGACACCTACTGGTGTAATAACACAACTTTTGTCAGCATCCTGGTTTTCCTTAGAGGTCTCCTACGCCCTACAGACCAGACCCTGCTTTGCTTAGCTTCTAAGATCTGCCAAAATCAAGCTTCATGTTTTCAATATGCTGGCAATCTTATTGAGCTCCTGCAATCACTTATTCTGATGCCCCTTTACTACAAACCTGTAGTTAGATGTGCCAGGTATTTTTTTTCCCACTCATTTTACATACATTAGTTGGTACTGACAATTTCACTCTTCTGATTAATTGGCATACCTGTGTTCAACAGGTAGTTTCTTGTTGTCAGTTAAGGAATGCGTTGACACCTAACAGCATGTGTGCTCCAAGCTGAAGCCACGTTGAAGAGTGGGGTGCAGAATTCGAGCAGACGCATGTGTACAGTATCTCAGTGTTGTCCTATAGAAGAGGGCTTGACTTTTCTGATCGGGAGTAACAGTGCAGATTCTGTTTTTACGTGCCAGAAGCGAGTCTCTTATATTTTTCTGGCTCCCCCCAGAAGCCAGTGTGCCTCTCTCTGGGTTGGTAATGTGACCACCGATTTGAAAGAGAAACATTTGAGAGACATCTTCAAAAGGTAAGTAGTGCTGTGGTGTCGTCTTTCGTCATGTTCCCGTTCGGAATATGAACAAATCTGTATTCATGTTCTCATGCTACAGTGAAGCTATCTAAGATGCAAGAAAAGGCCACTATGCTGGCTTACTGGATGTGTGCCTGCCAAGTATTTTGTGCTGTTCATTTGTGCGATGTCTCCTTCCTACCTTTTTCTTATTCTGGTTGTGTCCCCCTCCTGATATCTGTTGCCATTTCTGTCTAGCTCCTTTTTTCTTGTCTGTCTACTTGTGTTTATCCGTCTGTCTGCCTGTCTGTACCTTCTGTTTTCAAGGCTGTGCTTTGCAGTCCTGACCCCATCCTGCCTGTGAACATCTCCCTCTGGTCACCCTGCAGTTACGGAGAGATCGAAAGCATCCGAGTCCTCCATGAACGGTTCTGCGCCTTTGTCAACTTCAAGCTAGCGCCCATGGCGGCCCGGGCGATGGAAGAACTGCAGGTTAGTGCTCAAGACAAGAGGTTGAATACCTCATGAAAGTGTCCCTTAAGAGCAGAGGTCCCCGATCCTGGTCCTGGAGGGCTGGCGTGTCCACAGGTTTTCAGTCAGGCTGGGATTAATGACCCGAATCTGCTCAGAAATGTTTTAAATCGTCCAGTTTAACAGCGTCTCCCAGCTCTTCATGGGCAAAAACTCCATAGCTTCAAATTCACATTACAGCTTTTACATTGACTTGCTTTTTCTTCTTTTACGTTCTACTTGGTTTATGCTGACATGTGCCTAAGATTGTGTAAAATTAGCATTTTTCACAACATACATTTTCAACATTTTCTCCAGTAAATAACTGTTTTTTTTTACCTAAGAACAAATGACATAGTCTTCACACCCTATGCAATTTCCGAACCTGCATGTGTCAGTTTTCTTATCTTTGCATGCAGTGTGAGTGACTCGTGCTGTGTTTGCTCTGTCCAGGGGGTGGAGATTGAGAATACCAGGCTGGTGATCCGCTACCCAGAACGCCGGCCTCAGCGAGCCCCGCCCTCCCCTCAGAGATCGGCCCCCTCTGTGTCACTGTCATCCTCGCAGCCAGTCACAACTGCTGGGTAGGCATCCTTCCTTGTCAGCCACAGAGCTACAATCAGCCGTGGGGGAGGTATCATTGGGCATACTTGGATTTGTAATAATAATTTCAAAATAATGCTATTTATACATGTTTAATCCCAAAGCACTTTACATATAGGAGGGGGCCCACTGACGTGCTGCACCCATGACACAGCAGATCGGGTGATGTGAGAAACTGCTTCACTGATGAAGCTTAGTGGGAACATTAGGTAGGTCAGAATTGTAAAAGCAGAATTTAACCAGGACACCAGGGTTAACTTCCTTATGTTCATGAGCAATGCCATGGAATATTTAATTGAACACCTCCTCCAGCACAATGTCCTCAGTCCTCTTACTGGTACGTTGGTCTAGAGGGTGGAGTGCCACCTAACCCAACCCACTCAAACACTTCGGAAGGTGTGTGTGTGTGTGTGTGTGTGTGTGTGTGTGTGTGTGTGTGTGTGTGTGTGTGTGAGAGTTTAAGTGCGATTAGGAGATTGAGAATTCACTTGGTTTGGTGTTCTTCTGCAGGTCGAGGCGTAGAAACCCTGTGAATGGAGATGAGTGTTACTATTGGAGGACGACTGGTTGCCACTTTGGGGACAAGTGTCACTACAAACACATTCCTGGACAGCGTGGGAGAGACAGGAGGCCTTGGCAGCCCTGAGACCTAGTTCCCTGGCGCCCTGGTGCCCTGGCCTTGGAGACGGCAGTATCGGTGGGAGTGAGGCCTAGCGAGAGGATGCTCTTGAATTCAAAGTGGTTGATCTTTTCGGTGTTTCTCCCAGATCTCCATGTTCTTCTGCTGGGTAAAATCCTGTCCGTCATTTAGCACTAAGAAAGGAAAGAGACTCTTGAGGAGAGACTCTGGCCATTCATGTTCTTCTGTCTTCTACAAAAAAAAATGGTGACATCGGCCTGAGTATGATTGGTTATATTCACACACATGGAGAGAATGGGCATCTTGGCTGGATACAACACAAATGCCCAGTTTTTGGCTAGAACAAAACCAAATGACACCAGCAGAGCAATACTTATGCTTGTGTCCAAACATGTTTGGATATGTGAATCTTGCAAACAAAGTGCCTTTTATTCATTTATACACATATACCTGACCACAGATATTAGCCTGACATTGTTGGCTAATTTAAAACTTCCCTTCAGAGGAGACTCGTAAGGTGATTGTTGTGCTGTGCAAATGGTTTTAATGGTTACCTTGGTATAAGTAAATATTGTATTTCATGGTATTTTTAAACTATTTTATATGTTAGTTTTAAAAACAATTTTTATTCCAGTTCTTTCTCACTAGTCACTGTTCAGTTGGACACTTATAGTGAACCCTGTGCTTGACTCTTGACATTCGGTCTTCTATTTGCACAAGTGTTATGGCTTTTAATACGTTTTGGTCCTTTTGATTCCTTTTCTAATGCATATCGCTGGAACGTGCCAAATAAAAGCTGTCCAATTTTATTACCAGTTACTTTTCCTCTGGCCGAGAAGTGACCTTCTCACCCATATACGTGGCACTTTAAAACATATCTTTCACCAGATTGATTGTAGTGAAAAACTGTTTTTATTGAATTGTTTGCTCATTAGATATTTAATTGCGCTAGAAGCAAAATCTCTCTAATTTATTCTGTTCTTAAGGTGCCTTTTGTCATGTCTGATCTCCTGAGACATGGTTTTCCAACCCTGTTCCTGTAAGACCAGCGTGTCTAAGTCTCTAGAAAAATTCTGCAGACCCAGATGAGCCAGAAATGAGCTGTCGTTAAAGGCTGAGTTGAAATGAAATGAGTTGATTTACTGGGTTTGGTAACCTGCATGCTAGAATTAATGTTAAAAGGTACTACACAAAAAGGAATTGCACAATGTGCATTTTTTTAAATCACAAGTTGTGAAAATATGATAGAAAATTGTATTATTTAAAGCATTAGCTCTGACTTGACCAAATTCTGTATTGTTTTACCCTGACAATAAGCAGGGACCAGTGCAGTATTTTTCTGTTTTATAATATGCATTGCCACTTTTGATTGGATATTAGGAGGTTTGAATTTCTGCTTAGAGAAAGAGCCTTTGGGTGATCTGAGTTACTGTGGTACTTACCTGCTAAGGACAATCTTAACTTACTTGTTGCTGTAGTTCTCAGTTTGCACCACATGATGTCAGGATACCATTTCAGTGTCTTGGTGAACCTGCAGGGAGCAGAGTTCTGCTGCAGTTAAATTAAAGGAACCAAGCAAAGCACTTTCAAATGTGAGGTGACTGCCTCTCTTTATCAGCAGCATGATCTAATGCCACTTTAAGTCATTTTTGCTATTAGCAGCTTTTACATGTGTCTTGCATCAGTACTACAATCAGAGGTTCTTATAGAATAGTATATTACACTTGGTTAATGGAAATCTGCAGCTTTAATCAATGGAACAGTCTTAGCATGGTTTCCTTTAATTTACCTTACAACCATATAACTTCACTACAAAACCAAAAACAATATATATTCAGCTTTAAATGTCAGACTCAGATTTATTGCCAGAGACTCTGAAAGTTCTGCTTTTCCTATAGCCCTTGTCTGGTTAATCCTGACACTTTGCTGCATCATGTTTACTGTTTGCCTTTATGATGTCTGCTCTCATTACTGCTTTTTATTTTTTTGCTCATTCATCTTTTACTTCTGGATGTGAAGTGTTACAGCAGTTGCTGAAAAAGTCCTGATTCAGCTTTGTAATAGTCCAGTGTCCCCAAGGTTTTTCTGAGCTTTGATTTACTCTGCTTACATGCAAATTGTGGAAAGTATTAGGAGACAGCACAGAAAACTGAAAGGTCTCTGACCTTACCAAATCCTATATTGTTTTACCCTGACAATAAGCAGAATGTCACCAATAAGCAGACAGACACCAGTTTCAGACTTTTAATTCAAAGTCAAAGTGAAAGAAAACTTTCTTAGATTCATTTACTTCACAGCCCAGCTGGCTGGAGGGTATCAGTGAGTGATGTACAAGGAGCTGGGTTGTAATGAAGTGGGTCGCTTTCAGATTTCACCGAGACACTTTCCTGAATGCAGTGGCGCACCGTGTGGTCACCAGCTCTTCAATGAATCATTTGCTTTGCTTAAAATTTGAGTGCTTTGCTTAAAATGACTGACATAAAACTCTTTTGCTAGAGCCCCACAGCTCTGTCATGTGCTCCAGACCGTTAAGTAGCCTTTTAGTCTTAGTTCAAGGTTCGTTATAGCAGTTTTAAGTTAGTGTGGATCTTACAATGTTATCTCAAAGACGGAGTACAAACTATTTTGCATTAGCTGAACAGTCACATGGGATTGATGTAAATATGGAACATATCCCCAAAAAGGGAAGCAGTAACACTTCAAAGGGTAAAGTGACAGCACCACAGTGTTTTGAATATCATTTGCACATCTTCACTGCTCCGTTTTGGAGTCTTTAAAAATATTTATTTACTATTTTTATTTATGTTGTTAGGGAGCCTACAGAAATATTGACTGGGGTCTGCTGTTCTACACTGTCCTCTTGTTGGCTGATGAGGCGATACTTGTTTTCACACTGGAGTCATTTTCAAAGCTAATGGTCCTTAATTAATGTTTCCCTCCCCTGAAAACCCAGAACATCATATGGCATTTCACGAGCTTCTGGAAAATGTGGTGAAGAATAATTTAATGTTATTTAGACCTGAGCAATATAGATGGTAATTGACAGTAAAGTGGATGATTGCTGCCTTAGCACTGACTGCTGACAGCAAACAAGTGCTTTGCCTTAAGAGAAGAACTTGACTCAGGTTAGGTCTGCATGTTAGTTATTTATTTAATCTATTTGTTAATAGACATGTTAAATGTTCCTTAGGCAATTAATGGGGAGAAACAGAAAACTGAAAATTGTATAAGATGGTGTTGAGGAGAGCTGCTGAGTTTTAAAAATAATTTTTAGCCCGACTTGTTGAGTCACTTAAAATTACTGTCAAGTAATTTACTTTTCATATTTTTGACTCCAGACCTTGTTGTATGAGTCAGCTTCCTTCCCTGCTTTTTATGCCAGTGGCTGTGTTAGCATTCTAGTCTGCCTGAATCAAGTGCTCAGACTGCGAAGTGGTTTTCCAACAGGGGAGATCTGATCCAAATAGTACAGCATTATTGCATCACTTTGGCATTAATGTCCAGCTGTTTACAGTATGAGATGTAAGGCCTTATCCTTAAAGACAAAATGGGCTCTGGGACTAATACTCAACAGCATGGCCTTTCCGAAGGATAGCTGAAGGATTCCAGTTTCTCTTTTTTGAAACCCCAGAACGCTTGGTGCTTCGAATTGAGAGGACAGTGCAGATCATCACCACAGGTTGGCAGTCAAATCCAGGGTCAGGGCCAGATGGGAGGTGTTTACTGTCCCATGCAAATTGGCAATTCTCTGTGGTATCGGGGTTCCCCGTCTCTCATTACTAGACCTTGGAAAACTCTTGTTTCTTGCCTCCTGTGCTCTGTATTGGCAGAGCTAGCTGCTCTTCAAGGGCAGGCAGAATGAGTCCTGGTTGCTCTGGAGTTTTCCTGGTGGAGGTGGGTAGATGGTGAATATTCTGGGGAAATGAGAAACCAGATTTCTCAAATTTCAAACTGCACAGCAGTGTTTTGTAAATAACTGTTGCACTTTTTCTTCCTTTACCTTGCAATTGTTATTATTAAGGTAAAAGTTTTTGACATTGCATTATTTGTGCTCTGCATGTACTGTAATATCATATGGCTCTGGATTTTACTGTGACACACTACTGGTGTCTTCTCAATAGATAAGGGTGACTTTTTTTTTAATTTCTCAGCCATCTGTCCCAAGTGTTTGTCTAAGTATGTTTATATTTTAAGGTGGTTTGTGGTAAGGGGTTGCAAATTATGTACCTTTTAATCTAAGCACTGCAATCCTCTATTCCTAAACGTTTTTTAATCATGTTTGTGTTGTTGCACTGTTACCAAAGAGTGCCATAAATAGTGTATTAAATCTATTTTAATCTCAGTACCCTTCTTGTTGTGAAATTTGTTTGGGTTATGTGTTTGTTCTGTTCTTGTCAGTGTACTATTGAATATACTCATATTCAAAAACATTCGAAAGGCATAGAGTTAGAAGTACAATTCACACATAAATTGCAGTTTTACTAAAATCAAGAACATCTAATGGAAGATGATATCATGGGAGATTTTAATTTTTCCAATCATTTTGGGGAAAAGCCATCAAGGTATCAGCTGTTTGACTGGGATATATGATTAATGACTGATCTTATTCAGTTTTCAAGCTTTCAAACAATCAGGATGGTGAGAGAACCATTATAATACAAAATGCTGTGTTTTGACAATACTGTACATGTCTAACAAAGGTTCACGAGTTTAGAAAGCAGGCTGTGAAGGAGATCGTTTAAATGGTGTTGAAGTAGGTAAGATGGATAAGGAACTGGAAAGGTAAGTTTAAAGATATTCTGCTTAAAATGGTTCATTCCAAGGGTGAGGATAGCAATGGTTATACAGCAGTAGCCTAAATACCATACCTTAATTAGGAAAAATATAAGCACAATGATAAAGCAATTAAAAGTATATAATGTGTAAAGTAAAATTAGATATTGCATAAATTAACAAATTTAATATTAAAATGCAGGATCCAATTAAAGAAACAATTTACTAAACAGTGAGGACAGGTAAAAAGTATATTAGTGGAGAAAGATGTCCAGAGGGAGATATAAAAGACTATTGCAATGCTAGTTAAAATGAAAATGTTTTCCCCCATATTCTAGCAGCAGAAAAAAAAGGAATCAAATCAAGGTTTCAAAGTCCTCAAAAGCATTGGCAAAACTAACCCAGTGGACTTATTTAGAGTTGACAGTGAATCATAAACCAAGGGACAAAAATGAGAACTAAAGAGAAGAGCATTTAAGACCCAATCTGATAACCTGGTTTCTTCAAGGGACCTGCTGGAGGAGATCCTGGTATCGATTAGCTACTAGCAACCAAACAAGCTGGATGGGCTGAATGGACTCCTCTTGCCATTTTTGTTCCTTATGTAAAAAAATAAGGGTAAATCTCTTCTGTTTAAGGGCTCATGTAATTCAGTATAGATTGCTTTGAAGTTCTTTTTCACAAGATCCTAGGGTTCACTCTTTACACTGGTGTTATTTGCCTAAAATATCGATCATTTATACACCAGTGATTGCAGCCCCAGCTGGATGTTCAAGTAACAGTGATCTGGATGGGGTTGAAGGAAAATCTGCCTTTGGCCACCAGGGAGTGGTATTGCTTTTTTATCCTTTATTACAAGTTGTAGTCTTGGTAACACCTTCATCACAGCGTCTTAACAACTATGGACCCTGTGCCCTCTGTGTCTGCTGTATTTATTACAGTAGAGTTACAGTTCCCAGTTAATTTATCCCTATTAAAAATAGTTTAATAAGCACTTCTGATTGCTAAAACACCTACAAAGTGCAGAATTCAAGTTATAAAATTTAGCAGCTTGAAATATAACAGCTGATAATGAGCACCACTTTCAGATATAATAGTTAATTTCACAAACAATAACTACAGTTATGGTTATTCCTGTAATTTTTGTATGAAATATAAGGAACAGTTTGACATTTGAGTTGAAATTTGTGGAGTACCAGTACCAGTGCATACTTTTAATGAGTTTCTTTGCATTTTTTGCGGGGGTCGCAAGAACAAATGTAGATTTGCTTTGATGTTTGTCAGTCTGACCAAGTTGGGCTTTATAAAGAAAAGAACATTCTGGACAAATGAGGAGGGGCTGCAGAGGAATTAAATTGAAATTGAAGCAACCTTTTGGCGGTCAAGAGAAAAGGACTTTGAAATGCCTTTGGGATGCAGTGGTTTCACTGGTGCCCAACAATAGCTGTTGTTTAATACAGCAAATACAAGGCGAAAGACCACTACTCGCTCCTCGCTAGTGAAAGGCACCAGCAGTTTATCTAGTTACACTGCTGAAAAACAAAAAAATGGAGTAAGTAGCAAGTGTAGGTGTGGTAAATGTAGATCATAATAATTGTCAAAAACAATGGTAAATACAAATTGCTATGTAAATCAGCTACGATAAACTGTGTGCGTTGCCAGACTGCTATTATGGTGAGGTTACCATGGTTAGTGGTCTGGCGTTTTTGTTTGAAAGTTACAGTTTAAACTGTTTACTAAGTGGCTGTTTAAAATAAGGCCTTATGGTGAAGGTAATCGAGTAGAAGAATACACAGTAGGTGACTTCATTCAGGAATTTCCCTTTTCCACAAGCGAAATGTGAACTTGGCAGAAAGAATCTTTTAATCATGCTGTGAATAAGAGTCTTTAGTGTGAATCCTAGTGCCTCTACAAAGGCTTGAAATGACCACCCTTTTTGTCACTTTTAGGTGACTGTTTCATCCTTCCTTTCTGATAAAGGGAAAGCTGAAGCTGAATGTTGCAAAATTCTTATTTTTTTAAAAGCTAAGGAGGTGCTATAATTTGAAAAGGCAGTTGTTTATTGTTGGAGAGCACATATTGATTTCACGCCACCACAAATTGAGGGTGAGGGCAGAGCCAGTTCAGCAGTGTGTAATTACAGGGAGGTGGAGAGACCATAGAGCCACAACAGCAGCTCTTAAAGGCACAGCATTCCACTCTTGGTTTGTCTCGAGCGGTCTTGACGCTCGGTGACCAGCCGTGTTGGACATCGTCTTCACAGTGGACTCCAAAAGCACTCTATTCTCTGCTAGCTGACAAAAGTGCACACTTCAATGGAGCAGATTATAATGCTGCACTACCATTTCCTGGGCTTTAACACTTTAGTCTCTGCCTTCTAGAAGTCTCCAAAATGAGCATGGACATGTTCTCTTTCGCTCTCCAACAAAATTTCCTTCTTCAGAAAATAACCTGAGGTCTCCAGTGCTCCAATCTCTTACCAAAACGCCTGTTTTTGCTCTTAAAAGCTCCCCTAGGATCCTCAGACATGCAATACACATTGTGTGGTTGCTGAACTCCTACCAGCTGAAGAACAAACAGGAATTCAAAATTACTGTTGTCTTGGTGCCACTGCTAAGACGTCCTGGACTTTTATATTTCAGATATTTTTGGTTTGTCCAGTGAGTTTTTTCCTCTTTGATTAATTTGATCTACCAGGGGCCTGTACTTCCTCTCTTTGGTTTACCATAGAGGGAGGGACAGGCACTCGGGCACTCAGTCCCACAGACTTTGACACACAAACAAGTAAATTGCATGGTGTGCTTTTGGAAGGAAAAAAATCAGCTGAAAAAAACTTGTTTGCCACACCTGCTGTGTTGACAAGCATATGGCAAGTGAGTATCAATGAAATGTGTGTGCTTTTAATAATAATAATAATAATAATAATAATAATAATTTCCAGAATTTGATTTACAGCATTTCAAACATGTTTTTACATGTCTTTATTTGTTAATTTGTACAAGATTTAGATTTCACTTTCTTACTTAACAATTCCAAACATTTTTCACTTGACATACAGACAAACAAGAATTAGTAAATAAATAGCTCTGGTGCATATTTCTCTCAGTAATTTGCCTTGAAATCATTTCATTGTGCATACCCTTCTATTTTACACATTATGACAACTGTGTAGCCGAAGGTTCTATTTCATTCGAAAAGTTGGCCTATTGGGCTGTCACATGGTCGTCCAGTGCTATTTGGGGACAATCTGGTGTGTAAGCAGATGGGAAGGGAAATTGGCTCAGCTGGATGAAAAGCGGGAAAAACTCGCCATTTCAGAAGCGAAGACAGACTGGATGACGCGGTCTTGTCTGCTTGATTGCTGACAAGACCTCATCAAGCTGTGTATTGAGGCAGGACAGTGAGTCACGCTGCACACTAAGGTTTTATAGTTTGTTCTATTTGCCTATGTCTCATTGTGGGGCACAGTGCCTTCTAATCACAGTGCTGCATCTTCTTGATGGACACAACTTCCAACACAGCTCCTGGACAAAGATTGACACGCAGGTCATTACAGAGGCAGAGCTGCTTGCGCGCGCGTGTGTGTGTGTGTGTGTGTGTGTGTGTAAGAGAGAGAGAAACCAACAGAGATTGTGGGAGCTATGCTCATTCTCCAGGAATGATCAAAAATTATATTCCACCGATGGTCGGGTTGGCTGATCCAACCTTAGTCCCAGCTCCGAGGATCAGAATACATTTTTCTCCACTAAGAGACAGCACTTAAAAAGGATTGTGATGGAGAGATCTTCCCTCTTGACATTTTCAAATAGTATGCTAAAGCAAATTTGAAGGCACAATAAGTGAACTTGTACATTGGCAAAAGGCTACATTATGCTTATAATGTTTTTACAGTTTTCAAACTTGGGGTATTCTTCCTTCTTTTTTAACTGAGCTTTTTCAATGGGTGAGCTAGAAGTTAAGAGAAACCTTCAACTGATCAACCTGCAAGAAGAAAAAACCAAGTGAGAGAGAGATTAAAAGCAAGATGGGGGAGGGAAGGAGAAAGTGATGGAAGGAGGGGGAAAGGGAGGGAGAGAAGAAGGATAGAGTGTAAAGAGACTAGCACACTCCTTCATTCACTCACTCTCTCCCAAAGACGCAAGTGGCTCTAAATAGCACTGCCTGCCAGGTGAGTGGATTGTGTCTCTCGTCTCATTTATTTGTCTGCTGTTTAAGGGGTCCTTCTTTACCGTTTTCACCGCCTGTAAGCAGTTGCCATTTATGGATCTTTACCAAGTGAGGGTTGATGTTTTTTTAAAAAGTGGACTGCATGATGTTTTTTTTCTATTTTTTATAACATACAGAGTGACAAGTAGTTTGTGAATTCCCAAAGCCTTTGTTTGTGCTTTTTTTGTAGCTAAACCAGCGATTGGTTCTTTAAATGTTTGCTTATAGGTTTGGCAAATTGAGCCAACAATTTAAAATTTAGGTTTCCCCATTTTGGCTCAGCTTACGTACTGTATCCTGCTATTTGCTGTTGGAAAGTGTTTTGGTGCTGCCGTACTCACGTTTGGACAATGGGATTGTTCCTATTAATTCTTGTGTATGTGATACTTGTATATATACCAGTATCACATACACAAGTGCATGTTTGAGTGGGAAACTGTATCAGTGTGCAAACTGCAATGGAAGAAATAGAATCTTGCTTTTTCCTTTGTCTTTTAACTCTTCAGTATGGTATTAACCTCTGCTTGTTCCTGTATATTATGGTGTGTCTTGAGAGCAAGTGATTGCTGTGAGTAATGGGATTGTGAATACCAATTGGCTCTGGCCATATCACAACTAGAAAGTGGAACCATATAAATACCGTATATGTCTAATTGTGCTTTGGGTATATAAAGCTAAAGTGGCTTGCTGCAGGTGGCACTTTTGCCCTTAGGACGTATTAGCCTGACTTAGCTAACTTTGACCTGTGAAATGGCCAAAATTATTATGTAACATATACATATGTTCAGTAAAAAATAAATATAATTATTGTAACTGTATTTGAAATAATGCATATAGGGTGGTAGGGTGGCATTGCTGTTAGTGCTGCTGTATCACAGTTCAGACTGGGACACCTGTGTGAAGTTTGCATGCTCTCCCCGAGTCTGTGTGTGCTCCAGCTTCCTCCCACAGTCGAACGAGCTGCTGGAGTTTCTAAATTGCCCCCTTTGAGCTTGTGGGAATGAAAGCATCTGTGTGTGTGTGTGCGCCCTGTGATGGACTGGCACCCCACCCAGCATCTCAACCCACCTTGCGCTCTGTGCCCTACTGTGGCAGGATCCAGTTTACACTCCGGACTGATGACCCTCTAAGGATAAAGCAGTCACTGAAAGTGCATGGATATAATTGTATAATACATACTTATTATATATGCAGTATTTTATATTATATATACTCATTATATGTTTTTTGTTATGTGATGCTTATACTTAGAAACAGTTACAGATGAATTATGTTCTCTCAAAAGCAACATTAAATTTCTAAGCCTTCAAAGCATTTTTGGTGAATCTTCAAGTCTCCTGGCACCAGGCTTTTTCTTGGTGAATTTTAATGATTTACTTTTGCTCATAAGGCAAAGTTAATATTTGGCTCTGAACTATTCCTACATTTCCCATTACTGCATGAGACATAACATTTACGTGATGTCTCATGTGCTTTAATTCAGTGAACACAAAAGGGTTTTCATTTTGTTCAATTCTAAGACATGAAGTAGTGAATTCAAATCTGTACATCTTAGTAGTCTGTAGACATATGAAGTATATATGAAGTAAATATGAAGTAAAAGCATAGAACAGGAGCACAGATGAATAATCAGATAATTAGAGGAAGATGTAGATCAATGGTTGTCATGCCTGGAACCAGAACATCTATTCTTGGAGGGGCAAGTCGGAGCTCCTGTAATTTGTGTATAATTCCATTCCTGCTGTGCTGTGAAACTGAGAGGGCGGTGCTCCACAGGGAAGCCACAGACCGACAGCCGCTAGCCGAGCTCTCAGCACACCCAGGAGAGGAGCATGACTTCATGGCTTCACAGGGAGCAGCTGAGTGCATCCTTTAGCATGCAGTGTTTTAGCGCACTCCAGTCTGAACCAAAGGGAGTCAGGTCACAGTGCCCCCTGCAGGCTGGGTGCGGAGGTGGACAGAGAAAAAACACAAATGTGACACTCCTAGGTAGGTCTGACTACATGAATGTAGTCATAGTAGTTACGTGAACCCTTATGGCCCCCAAATCACCTATGTCTTGGTGCCTATTCTTTGCACAATAAACTGATGCGATTCTGTTTGTGATGACATTAAGTTAGTTGGATATTTTCTAATTTTCATGTTTTAAAATCTTTCACAGCTCCACTGACCAACGTTTGGATTGTAGTTACAGTTTAAATATATTTGTCTTTTAAAATATGTTGTGTCACATATTTAAGCTTTTTTCCCAGGTAGATCCACAACTTAGCTTTGCTTATTACATGCTGTTTTTATTGCAACATACTGGCCATGAAAGAGGCCAGATTTGTTTTCCGAATTTATCACTCACACTTTCAATATAGCACAAAAGCAGTTCCTGTTGCAATTTTCCTTTTCTCCTGATGGTGGCAGGGCTGCTCTTTAAAGGTCTGACTGTGTACCAGACTTTTTTTTTCCTTGAAAAAGCCCACTCAGAAAACATTTTTTCATTGCAGAAAGTCTCAGTGAACAGTGCTCTGGAAGCGAGAAGGATTTTTCATTTACATACACACGTACATTTAACAATTGACATATTTAGTATGTGTGTAAGACACTGCTCATCTTATATACAGTACCTGATATATAGGAGTAATATTTTACATCATTTAAATAAATGAAATCCACAGGCAAAGGATTATTGTTAATGAAATGATCATGAAGCTCATTATATTTACTACTGAATGCGTTACTGGAAGAGCTAATGTTGTCCAGGTACTGATTTTGTAATACAAGGTGAAGGAGTAAGGATGGATTTGGGTACCAGAACTCATATTACATACGTTTGTCATGTGGAATCACACAGGCTTGAGTAAAATCATGTCAGTGTCATGTAAAATGGCCTTCAGTGTGGTGCCTGAAACCTGCTCTTTTTGGTCACGCACTGGACCAGGGTGTGTCATTCTCTGGCGGAGACCAGGGTTTCCCGAAGCAGAGCTGTGGACTGTGTCACGGCCTGAGCCAGGGTGCAGTGTTCGCTACACACCAGCAATCCCTGTGACGCCAGGGACGCCTGTGAGCTTGTAGCATTGCTAGCGAGAGCTTCACCTCTCCTGCAGCCGGTGCCCACCCTGCTCCACGTGCAGTGCAGTCTTGTAGTGCACAAAAATGGCTCTGCGAATGCACATTTCGGCTGAAAGCAAGTTCCCTGATCCGCAGACCTTCATCTGTGAGAATCAGAGTAGTAACAGGGCTGAAGTCGTCGTAAAAGACCCAGACCTCTGTTACACGTGCTGTGTTTTTGCTCCAGCTGTCCTGTTGCGATGTTGGGGTTCCTCCTGTCCGTGAGTCCCCTGCTGGTTCTGCTGGCCCAGGGAAGCCCCCCGCCAGGACCCGCCCGCTCTCGCCGCGCCCCCGCCACGAAGCTGCGCCTGGCGGGGTCCCCCCGCGGGCCCAACGAGGGCCGCCTTGAGATCTTCTACAACCGCACCTGGGGCACTGTCTGTGATGACGACGTCGACCTCAATCTGGCCAACGTGGCGTGTCGAGAGTTAGGATTCGTGGGGGGCATCACCTGGGCACACAGTGCCAGGTACGGCGAGGGGGAAGGTGAGTACCTCAGTACAAACAGCCATCCCTGGCTTTAAAGGCAGGAAGGCCTCACTCACTCAAACTATGTACTGCCTACTTACGTCAGCGCTGCTATTAGTAGGTCTTGTCGTGTTTGTATTGAATATTTTGATTTAAAGGTATGAAAGCAGGGTAGCATGGTGTTACAGTGGTTAGCATTGTTGCCACACAGCACTGGGCCCTGGTTTCAATTCCAGACCTGGGGTGCTGTCTGTGTGGAGCTTGCATGTTCTTTCTGTATTTGCATGGGATTCTTCAGGGTTCTCCAGTTCCTGGTAAGTTAAGTGGCTTCTAGGAAAATTGGCACTGGTCTGAGTGTGTGCGCATTGGTTTTCACGTCTCTCTGCCCTGTGATTGACTGGCTTCCTGTCCAGCGTGTACCCTGCCTTTCAACCTGTTGCTTACCAGGATAGGCTCCAGCTCCCCTCACAGCCCTGAACTGGATGAAGTGGTTAGGAAATGGATGGACTGTATGGTATGAGAGCAAACAATATAACATTTTCAGTAATGAAGTAAAAGATACTGAAGTCAGCCAAAAAAGTTTTTTAAATAAAAGGGATCTGTGTGCAACTCTCATTGCCTTGTAGGTCAAACCACCAAAACCCCAGCTCTGGCCTTGCCAGTTTCCCCAGCCTGTCTTGTAGTGACAGCCTCTGAGAGAATGTTTTTACAGCTCTTTTTCACAAGGGCCAATGGATGAAATCATAGTGCACTGTCAATAATTTAAACACTCAGTGTTTGAAATTTACAGGCAAAGAGATTTATAATATTTTTAATTGGTTATTTTCTGTCAAATTGGAATTATAGTGACCAAAGTTCCTGGCTCCTTCATGTTGCTTCTCTCTGCTGCCTCTCGCTTTGCCCTCTAATTTAAAATGAACATGCAATAAAATTCCCCATAAACCAGAGTAATGCAGTACAATGCTGGCGAAAGGGCACTGTCATTAGGCTTAACTAGAGTACCAGTAAGTCTTTTCCTATGTCGGATACCTCAGCAAACAGCCTGGCTTCTATAAAAACACAGTGGAGTCCCATTATAGCTCAGTGCACTTCACAGTTTTTAAGTGCCTATGATTTTTCATTTTTTACAAGGCTATTTTGAGTTTTATGTCCATCCCACTGAAAAGTTTAATGAACTGAGACTTTGGAAACATCACAGCAAACCCAAGACAGAAAAATTAAATAAACAGGCATTCTGAAGGCATATTAGTCTCACTATAGTGATAGTTCATGCTTTACATGAAATATATAACTTAGGGCTTTTTATTTACCCAGTCATGGCATTTTGTGCCAGATTTTTTCTGTTGGTTTTGCTATCGAAAAATATGGAGTTAGAAAAAGTAAAAGGATAACAAAGGATGGTAAACTAATTAATTCCTTACACTTATATGTGCTTTTCTGGAAACTTCACTCAAAGTGCTTTACAGTTAATGGGGACTCATCTCCACCACCACCAATGTGCAGCCCCACCTGGATGATGCGACGGCAGCCATAGTGCGCCAGAACGCTCACCACACATAGCTATTAGTGAGGAGGAGAACAGAGTGATGAAGCCAGTTCATAGATGGGGATTATTAGGAGGCCATGATTGGTAAGGGCCAGGGGGAAATTTGGCTAGGACACCGGGGTAACACCCCTACTCTTTTTGAGAAATGGCCTGGGCTTTTTAATTACCAATGACAGTCAGGACCTCGGTTTTATGTCTTATCCGAAGGATGTCGCCTTTTTACAGTATAGTGTCCACGTCACTATACTAGGGTATTACACCTACACAGCACCTCTTCCAGTAGCGACCTTAGTTTTTCCCAGGAGTCCCATCCAGGTACTAACCAGGCTCATACCTGCAGAGCTTCAGTGGCTGCCAGTTGTGAGTTGCAGGATGATGTGGCTGCTGGAATGTCTTTGATTAAACTAATCAAAGTTTAGGAGATAATCAGGCATGTGGCTGTGTGTCAGCTACCATTCATCATATGATCAAAACTCAATATGTAACCCATATAACCCCGTAACAGATCTCACAGTGCAAATTTAAACTGTTACAATGATTTCACTGCTCCAGGTCTCAAGAAGTCCCCAGGCTAAATTGCCTGTATTTTTTCTATTATCAGTACTACTAATATTCTTCCAGTGAATTGGAATCAGTGAGTAAGATGCCCAGTCGGGCCGTGTGGGTCAGTTGCTTGAAAATGTGCCTTGAACCATTGGATCCAGCAGCACAAACTGCATCTCCATGCATGTTTGCAATAATTATGTCACACATTGTTATGGCTTGCAAAATGCCCTCTATTTGCTGTTGAGTTTAGTTATTGAAAATTACCATCCTGTATTATTGTGATATTGTTTGCAATTTGACTGTCCTCAGATTGCGTACGTCATAGATTATTCAAAGACTCCAAAGTTCCAAGTTTGTCATAATTCTAAATTAAAATGCACCATCAAATAATTTTACTAGTTGTTGTATTTTTAGTATGTGTTGTCTAACACTGGTTAAACTTAGCCGTGAATTGAATTCATTATAAAAGTATAAAAATTAGATTATGTAGGCCCTATAGAAGCTGCTGTATGTAAGTTTGCCAGTGAGAGCATTTACTTAATATGTCTGCTTTTGGAATAAATCTTCTTAATGAATATCATTTCTTTGGCTCAGTTTTTAAAGGGACTTTTATTTTATTTTTGTCATGTCTGGGAGGCTGTCCTTGCTAAACTGAATAGATGAAGGAAGATGTTCGTGTTTTAGAAGTAGATTCATTCTCGTATTTGTGGCTAAAGGATGTACTTACTGTATGTGTTCATTGGTTGTTAATCACAGAAGGCCGTATGGAGACAGGTCTTCCTGGGTTTGATTCTATTACACTGGAGTGAGGGAATCTTTCCCCACGAGTCCAGGATACTGCCCTTGTCTGTCTGGGGGTAGAATCTGTCTCTCACGCTGGACCTGCACTGCTGTCCTTGCCAGGTCCCATCTGGATGGACAATGTGCGCTGTGTTGGCACTGAGAAGTCCCTGGCAGAGTGCCAGTTTAACGGCTGGGGCATCAGCGACTGCAAGCACTCAGAGGATCTGGGGGTGATCTGCACCGAGGAGAGGAGGAACATGGTCACACAGCGTCAAGGGCGCCCCAACAACCTCATCAACCTGGTGAGGAACTGAAGGGTTTCCAACCCTCCCCTTCAGACAATTTTGCATATTCTCAGGTATAAAGACTGGCCCTGAAATGCACTGGTTCAGAGCATAGCAGGAGAAGATCCCTTTCCTGGAAAGGGCCCATTTGACATAATCACATTTCCAAACTTTAATGAGCGGCAATGTGGCTTCTTGTATTCCTACAAAAAACGTCAATTAATTCTGTATTTAAAATAACAGAATCCTGTCTATGTTTCTGCTTATTTAGGTTTTCCTTTCATTGTGTTGTGGATCAGGGATGAATTCTCACAATAATTAATGAATTCTGTGCTTGACTACAAAGTGCCCAGTGGTGATCGTTTGCTTAAAGTTGAGATGAAATAAGATAATATTGCTTGCTTGTTGTGACTCCAGAAAAGAAATGGAAAGGAAACACATATATTTATGAAATCTCAAATGTGTACCTGTAGGATTAATACATAACAGAACAGGCGCCTATGCAATAATAGCACATCAGGCCAGAAGGGGGACCACAAACAGGAAGTGTGAGCTGACTGAGTGTGGCAGCATCTGTGAAGCTGCTTTTCAGTCACCATTACCAGGAGTTGCACCTGGACAGAAAACGGCAGCCAAGACATTCATTCCATTCCTGAGCTGCCCACCGCTCACCGCTGCCCACTCAGCACTGCAGGATTGCCTGTTCCTGGAACCTCAGTCAGGTCAATGTTGAATCTAAACCACTCTCTCACAGGAGCTCCTGCCAAGAAAACTGTGTTCTAATAAAACAGCACAGACCAGAGCTGCATTTAGCTCTGTCTGGAGTAGGACAGCTTGCCTGTCTAAAGACCGTAAAACAGGGGTGAGCAAGGGCTTAAAGACCACAGCAGAACAACAGGAAGGGGCCCTTCTGTCACAACAACACAGTCTTTTACAATGTCAGTCTCTTGTGCTCACATGTTCGCACCCTAGAGAAAGTGCTAGTGTTGGTGACCCTGTGTGTCCTGCAGGGAGGCAGCAGGATCCAAATAGAGGAAGTCCGGCTCCGGCCCATTCTTGCCAGCACCAAGGTCCGTGCCCCCATCACCGAGGGCGCGGTGGAGGTGAAACACGCAGGCAGGTGGCGCCAGGTGTGTGACCTGGGCTGGACTCTCAACAGCAGCCAGGTGGTGTGTGGCATGCTGGGATTTCCATCTGCAGAGCAGCATAATGTCAGGATGTACAAGTAAGTTTCTAGATGATGGATAAGTTTCTGCTTTCTGCTGTACACTTCTATTGAATAACAGCAAGGGAAGACTAATGGAATTTTTAAACACTATTGCAGGACAGGGTTGAGGCTCTCAGGCTTGGCTTGTTGATGTACAGTAGATACTGTCCATTTTGCGCTTGCATTCTTTAACATGCACTTCAGTATTCTCAAGTGTGAGTAAAGAAAATGAGTCACAATGTAAAACAAATGCATAAATAATAAGAAATCAGCTTCAGTCTTACAGATCTGTATTAAGATAGATCTATTAAATTTATCAACACAGACTGAAGTCACCTCTGCAGTCTGCTGGATAGACATTCCGCTGTGTTATCTCCGCCCAGCAGACAGTTTTAAGGGCCAGACCTTCTACATAATGGCATATTGATCTTCCCCTCACACTAATACCATCTAGAATTCTGCAAACAGTTGACCAATTTCAACTGCTGCATTTTCAGAAGAGCAGTAGGACGGTGACTCTCAGGTTTCTGTGACAGGCTCCAGTATCACAGAGGATTATTATTCAAGTATCCTTTCAATTATTTAATTTGTTTTTAGCTGACTGTTGTTTCCAATGTTACTTCTATTTTTTTTTAAAGTGAATAAAACCACTTTCCCTTTATTATACTTGAATCCACTTTGAGGAAGATTTTACTTGAACATGAATACTGTATTCTGTTCCTTTCATTAAACCATATGGGTGCAAAAGCTCTCATTACTTGGTTCTACATAAATGCACTCTTTATCCCCAACAGATCTTTAATTAAAAAAAAAACATTAGTGTGTAAAATGTTTAGCACTTTACGCCTGAGAGCTGCGCGTGATTTATGTAAAGGCTGATGACTTGTTTCACTTGACACTGTGGAAGAAAGTCTTTGATAAAAAAACAGTGTAATGAGGAGTTTCTTGATTCTTGGTCCGTGGAAGAGTCCAGATTGATTTTCCTTACGGAGTTTGCTTCCTTCATGTGTAATGAACAGAACTCATCTGTAGAAATGAACACGTTTAGCTCTCCCCCTGGAGGCAGAGTAACAAGTGGAAAAAGCCAAGCCGTAGTCTGAGGCCACGTGAAGGCATTGCTGAAATCTCTCTTTCCTGGGGTGTCTCCCTGTTCCCTCCGCAGCCTGGCGGTGGGGAGGGGCGCTGTCTGCCTCTGGGTGCACCACTCTGGGTGTGCTGTCTGTGACTCCCCAGCCGTGTCACAGCGCCACATGGACAGGCAGCTATATTTAGAGTCCTTCTCCGAGTGTAAATATACTGTAGCTGTGCGGCCCAGGAAGCTTCATCTCTTTCCACACAGCACTTAGTGTTTATTCACTGAACTTTTTTAAAGACCTCTGCGGTATCCCAGCAGTCCCCTCTGACACACACACACAACACCACAGAGCTACACTTTGCTCATCTGCTCACTCAGTGCCCACAGTCCTACCGGGTATCCCACAACGCCCTCACGAAACATTATTACTTGCCCATTGCAATTGGAATGAAAATGGTCTGTACCCTAGTGGACGTCCAGTCCGCTGAGCATCAATAGACATCTACAGACCCTATGTGCAGCCCCATGAGATGCTGTTGGAAAAGAAAAGTGATTCCCTGGGTGTTTTGGTTGACAGTACTGGTCAGTCAGAGTACCAGACAACGAATAAGTATTGGTTTCAGTAGTATTTGCTGCTTCTTAATGCCTCTTGATAATTAGAACAGCCCTGATGTACAGACTTTTCTGCGACAGACTTTAAAACAGGTAAAAGACAAGGATTAAGGTACTGCTCTGGAACCTTAAGCAATATAACCATTAAGGCTGCTCTGCTTTCTGATGTGCTCTGCTTTTTCGTGCGCTCTGCTATCTAAAAGCAGCTTGGTGTCTACAAGGGAAAATTATATTGCAGCTAATTATATTGTTAGTTATGCTTCTGCTTGCATTTGGTTTTTAACATTTTTTAGATCTCTGTGATTAATGTCAGATGTAGATTTGTTAAATAACATTATGGGTTGTGATGCTTGTTTTTTCCCTGACACCACAGTCCTGTTGTCTAATTTCATACAATTACCCCATTTTTGCAAAGTTTTATAATACCATCCTGGTGTCTGCAGTTGTGTGTTAGTGCAGGCCCATGTCTGTTTTGCGCTTGTGTGATTACACTATCTTCAGTTGTTTTTGGTCCACACCAGGTTCCAGATTCTTCTGGGCAGTGGGTCATAATATCTCTAGTACTATACCTTAGCTCAGGTATGGTCTTTTCTGGTCCTGGTGTCCAGTGTGTCTGCAGGTTTTCTAGGTCTTTACAAAGCACCGATATCTGAAGAGTTGGAGGAAGCTGTCAAAAATATGTCCCATTAAGTCAATAATCAGCTGAGTTGTTTTGTTAAGAGTTGAGGTGGAATGAACACCTGCAGACACACGGGCTCTCCGGGACCAGGACTGACCATACCTGCTTTACCAATCTTCCTAGTCCTCCATCTCTAACATGTTGACTACATTACTGTAAAGGACACATTTATGTAATTAGTGGGACAGGGTAAAAAAAGTAACTTCTGTAACATTTTATGCTCTTGAAAAATGTACTGCTGTTTGATTTGCTTTTATAAATGGAATCTTAATGACTATGTTTGATTTAATGCTTGGTTATACAGAAGGTATTTCAGGAATTGGTTACAATTGAATAGTGTAAATCTATTATTTTACGTGCATGTGTTAGGCAATAGCTCACTTCCTTCAGGCCCGGTCCAGGAGCGATTAGCACAGGTCCAGTTGACTTATCCCTATGACCTGAACCACAGTTGTCTCTGTACCTTACTTCTAGAAGCTAGAATATAATACTTCCAAGTCCCTTGGGTTTAACTGTCAGTCTCTACTGTTTCCTTATCTTTCAGTTTTGTGACTGCACAAAAGTAAAAACAACTCTGTCAGTTGAAACAAACTAGTATTTTTTAATAAGCATTTTATCCCAATCCCTGAGCCTTCCAGTGTCCTAGGTACTCTGTACATCTGTGTCTGACCTTGTCATAGGTCAGCCACAGAGGAAACATGTAGTTGTCACCTGGTGTGGTGGGAGAGTCCAGTCAGGTTCTTGTTGGTATCATGGTGAAACAGAACACTCAGTGACAGCCGTGTCCATTCTGTGTACAAACAAGGCCGTCTCTTGTGCCAGGTCAGTGGCTGGTTTCAGGCATGACGCCAGCATGATGCAAGGAGCCTCTGGAAGGAGTCGTGAAGGACTTCCTTGTCACCTGACTGTAAACACCGCTCAGAGCGAGGGGCATTGTTAGAAAAACAACACAAACACAGTAATGTCATTATCTGCAGTCTTGGTCTCTAATTTAGAGGGAGGTGACACTGAAGTGGTTTCTAGATTTATATCCTGAACCACAGAGTAAAGCCTCTGAGCTGCATTCACTCAAGACAGATGTCAATCAGGAATCTCAGGGAGTGCTGCTCACTGGTTGGACATTCCTTAGAAAATCTCCTCAAAAAGGTTAGATGGTGTTTTATGAGAGTTACAAATGAGAGAAGGCTATTCACCCTAGATTTGCCATATTTGCTAGATCGTTTGAGAAGTTATTTCAAGTCCCCTCGCTATCTTCTCTGTTCAAGACTAAAAAGGTTTAACTTCTTTCCAGGAAGACATGAAGACATTCCCTTAAGCCCTGGAAGGCATCTGGTAGATACTTTGGAGTAACAGAAGTGTCTTTTGGGAGCTCTTTGATGTGCTCGAGCAGTTGAATATTAATACTATGACTATTCATTGATTAAAAATAATTTTGAATACCAACCAATATTAAGTGCAAATGATGAAGCCCTCAGAATCATATGGGGTCTTAATAGTTTGATTGTCTTTAATCATTCGAATGATGGCACTCTGTGCCTGCTGCTGTCCAGGGCTACCTAGGCTGAGGCTGTGGCAGCCAGCTTCAGACTGCACTCCTGATGTCAGACACGTCTCAGAGATCAGGCTCTTTCCTTGCTGTATTGTCTCTCAGCCACTCCTCTTCTAATTTACAGCCCAGTGTCTCTTGGCTGCTTGCAGAAGATGCTATAATTAAACTTTGGAGAGGCCTGAGGGTTTTGTAAGATTCTTGCAAAAAGGGTGCAATTACAGCTGCTCCCAGCCCTGGCCTGCTGTGTCAGCAGAGGTCTGTGACGTGAGCAGAGCAACTGTGGAGACTAGGAGAGGGACAGACGGCGAGCACATACAAACTGTACCTTGTGAGTGTCATTAGCACTGATGTCTATATTTAGTATTTTAAAAACGCCTGTTCCTTTTTTCAAAATGTGCTTGAAGTTCTTGGCAAATGTTTCTGAATTTTAAGATACTGCAACAGCTTTATTTATTTTTTTACTTTGAAAAGTGTGGTCGGTGTTTTGGAAGAGTTGGTTGTGATTGGGAATCTATTTATAACGTGTTAATTCATTAAACATATTGTTATTTAACCTTTTTGTAAAAAAAAAGGTTTTTCCTTTTTCATTGCCTGATTGGGTTGGGTTCTGCCGGAATCCAGCACAAAACATTGGTGACTACTTTGCATTCGGAGATCTTTCTGCAGACTGGTTTCTGCCCAGACCGAGCTTCCTTTTGGTCAGCTTGGTGCTTCCTTAATTTGTGAACGAATTGCATTGCTTACAACTGACCTAACAGCCCCTAGGCAAACATTCATCCTACATTCTGTGAGGAGGAACAAAAGGAGCCTTTTGGGACCTCCATCTCCTCTCTCACTCTTTAATCTGTTTGTGGTCATTTCATGTCACGTGGTCTCGTAATGAATTCCTGCCTGGATGTTTCTATTGCAGTTCAGAAGGATAATTCCCAGGGGCTGTGCTATCCTCCCTCTGTATTAAAGTTGTCTTGCCTCACCTGTAAGAGTGCAGGCTGTGACAGCAGGCCATCCAAGATCTCAGCCTCCAAGTGTCATTGAATGGAGTGTGGCTGTCAGAGAGAGCACTTCTATCTTCCATGAAGAGCGAGTCTCTTCCGTAGGTCTGTTCTCGCTACTTAAATAGATTTGCAGGACTTGCAAAGTCAGGCACCCTCAATGAAAGTGCTTCCAGCAACATTCACTCTCACACGCTTGCCTGAAATTATTAGGTAGCAGGTGCAAATTCAGCAACCACTAATCAGAGTCCTCCCAGCCCAGAGAGTAGATGCCAGCGAAGAAATAAGGGCAGGGGGCATGTCAGGATAATCGGCTTAGTGGTGGTTGTCTCTGTGGAGACCAGCTCCGAAGGGTGTCAGAGCTATCATTTCCCTTTCCTGGGTTTGTAAACTTGGGGTGGGACTCCAAGGCCAATTACACTGGCAGGTGGAGACTTGGGGAACAGGCCATTACAGGAAGTAAACAAAACGCATTATTTACAAAGTTTGTTTGCACTGTAAGTTCTCATCAGGACGAATTATCTCTACACGCGTGGGGTGTTAACTTTGTAAATAAAACCTTTGAATCCACCACTGACCCTCCTGGCAAAGGTATTTACAGTGTTTTACAGTGTTTTCTCATCTGCTTTAATTAGAAACAAAATAAATAGTGTGTATTCAAGGGTGTTGGATTATGCATCTTTAGACTTCACATATCTTGGTACATAGATTTGTGAGAATTTATTCAAAAAGCTAACTTTGAACAACAAGACTGTTCTCGTGATAGTGTAGAATTTCATTGGGAAGATTAGCCACTGAAATACATATAAAGTTTACGGGAGAATATGGCATTCTTTCACACTAGATAAAAAACAAGAATTTATTTAGCAGTGCAACAGCATGCTCATTTCATCGCTCAGCTAATGCTCAAGGAGACTTGGTTTGCCTTTCTGCTTTGGTTTATTGCTGCTGTTCTCATTTTAGGTAACACTGTTTATTTTAATAGTATTATATTTATGTTTTGGTAAGAAGGGAACTGATAGGCATTGCCTTGGAATTCCTGCCAGAAAGCACAGCAATATTGAGGGTCTGTAATTGTGGAGGGAAAATAAAGTGCCACATGTCACAATGTGTGTGTGTTAGGCATTTTTGTTGCTTGGAAACTAAGTGGTTTTTAAGTCTTTTTAAATTGCAAAGCTGCTTTAATCAGGCATACTTTTGTGTCTGGTCTGTGCAACAAGTTAGTACACAACCACATGGCAGACAATCCCAGTTTTTTTGTAACACTTGGGTAGCCTTACTGGCTAAATGCAGTTGTTCGTGACCTTTATTAACTAAAAACATTTAGATGTTTTTCCCTTTCTTTAAACGTCCTCTTCTGGCTTGATCAGAAGACAAGCTGTAATCTGTTTTTTTCTTGACTTGTTTTTTTGATTCTACACCCTTAAGATTGCTTCAGTGTTGCACTATTGCAGATTTGACCTGTTTCACTAGTAAGTTTCTCTCATTAGCAGTGGTTGATAACTAGCAAAGGACAAGTAAAATTATCCACAAGATTTTGACTTTTTTTCACCCTCTCGTAATGTTCTAACTTTCTTCTCCTAGACATATGTGGAATTATCACTTTGTTGGTGACTACAACAGAGCTGTACAGATGCATTACAGTAAACACCCTTTTTTACCTGGTTGTACAGTTATCTACTATTATGCTCCCAACCCTACTGCTCATGTTGTTTGGACTTTACATGGATTTTACTGTACATCTTTTGCAAGAGCATTCATGGGAATAGTTACTGTGACACATTATCCTTTGGACATGGTGAACTTTCTGTGTTTGCAGGGTTAGCATTCCAATTCTGACCTCCTGACTAGAAAAGCAAAATGCTGGGAATTTTGAGCAATGAACATAGACCATGTTTGTGTTTTTGTGCCACTCATACATTCCTTCTCAAAGTGCTCCAATATGACTCGGTTTGCTTCCCCTCTTAGGTATGCTGTTGAGGCTGAAATGACACATGTTTGGATGACTCTCTTTCCTACTAATGTGCCAGAGGCAGAGTGAAGCAGTGTTTGATGTGGCTGTAGAGGAGCTCACCTCACTGCTGAGCTGGATGAACCCCTGACGCTCTGTACCTCTGCTCCTGGCTCAGCGCAAGAATGACTGGGCTCAGCCTAATAGGAAATGTTTGTTTTTAAGTCGATGTTTTTTAAATCCATTTTATACAAACCAGTGTAGGCAGACATGCTGAGGATGTCGTAAGATATAATTGAGTGTGTTCCAGAAGCCAGCTGATGGTGCATTCTTATATTAATTTGGAGCTAGTTTCCCGCACAATGAGACTCTTTCCTGCTCTCACACAGCAGATATATTGTGCCTGGATATTTAAGAAATTACTCTTACATTTCTGTACGTTGTCAAAGTGAAATCCTTTCCATTAGTATAGGTTATGTAAACAACAGCAAAAACATTTTTCTAATGAAAATACGGTGATAAAATGCTGTTAATCTTTTAGGAAATGATCTCTGTACAAGTCTGTCCATCTCCCACAAAACCTTTCCAAGAAAGGCATGAGACACAATGGCCAAATCCCTCTAGTATGAGACTTGTCCTGATTTAAATGTTAATGCTTGTGATTACCTGCTACATCCAAAGTCTCTTTAAGATGCCTTCCCCTGAAGATACAAGTGAAGAACAGCGTCATTCAATAATAATTAAAGAGTATTCTATTTCTATCTTATCTTAATTTATGTAGACTATCTTAGAAATACATTTTTTGTCATAGAGATAATCCTCCAATTTAGTTCTAATTGTTATATCCATAACCATGCACAAAATAGATGTAAGGCTTGGTTTATAATTACTTGTCATACTTTTTTATGGAGGTGTTTTATATTAATTGACTTTTGCTAATGGCCTATGAATAACAACTCCTTCCCTTAAGCACAACAGGTAGAAAACCATCAGTCCCTGGAAATTACCTACCCTTAAACTTACCTGTCCTTGGTACCTAAAGCACTTCTGTGTCTACTCCGCTAATATGATGGAACATACACGTACAGTAGATCTTTGTCTTTCTTCCACATGGGGCACATTGTCTGTTCCTTCCTAGGTAAACATATAAGTGAAACATACATTTAATACATTCACATATTTCAAATAAAAACATTTATAAGAAGTCTTTTGTCCCCTCTGCAATAAAACAGCTCAATGAATGTATGTAAATGTCCCCCACTACCTATTTATCCATTATTTTATGTATGATATACTATTGTTTTCATTTCATGTACTTCATGTGATTTGATAAGACTTTTATATTTTGCTTGTGTGTTTTGTACTTTTATAGGAGAAGCCAAAGACAAGTTTCCACAGTAGTGGGCAATGGAGTATCTATCTTAAACTTTCCCATCTTTATCCCTGAAACACTTTATCTTTTACAGTTCCTTTGCTGTTCTAATACCGCAAAATATTGATTTAAGCTTGCATGATAAATATTCATTTTTGTCTCCCTCTTGGCTATTTAAATATCGTTTTCATAACATGCCTGTACTTGTAGTTCATCACTTTTCTGAACCAGATCTTGTTTTTCTAAACCTTTATTACATTCTTTGTTGGTTTAATTGCTTGAGGAAAAGTGTTCCATGTTATAAGGACAATAAGTTGATGCCATGAATGTATTTGATTAAGTGTTTAAAATGAATATGTCCCATTCTATTGCTATTAGGCTTTGTCTCATCCCTTCATAGTCTGTTTTTTGAAAGTTGCAACATTTTACTTGTTGATTTTCTAAGTACTTCAAAGAAAAGCATTAGGATTGTTGCCCTCTAATGGTACATTCAGATCTCTTGTCCTCAATCTGTCTTCATTGTTTGGAAATGCTAAATCAATACAGATATTTTACCTAGTCGATGTTCTAACAAACTAAGGAAGCCTTGATAAAGCTGATAGCCATATACTGTATATCATTTGAATGTTCCTATTGTTTTTTCTCAATTTGTCTGAGGAAAGTTTAAATCCCCCATGACAACCACTTCTTAATTTATGCACTTATCCTTGACTCTCTTGTACAGTATAAGAGTAGTTTACTGTAAATCTGAATTTAGTGCTTTGTAGCATACTTGTAAAACGTTGGGTTTCAAACCCTGAAATATTTTTGGAATTCAACAGGATGGTTGAAACCTCATGAAATTTTGTGGGAGAAAAAAATAATATCCTGTAGGAATTAATGTGAGTAGGATTGACAGAGCAAGATAATAACTGATCTGAGATTTGACTTTCACTGGCCTCTCACCACAGTGCCACATTGCACATGTTGTTTGTTTTGCTGAATGGATGTTTACATAATGTGAATACTTGAGTACTGCTTATGGGAAAAGGTTTCCAGTAAAGTACAGTACAGTATATCCCTTACCAGACAGAAGTGTCAGTGGAGATGCAGGGCACTGGATGAACCCTGTGACACACCTCTATTAGATTTTTTCAAAAACCCAAGTCACTCTAGATCAAATGCGGTCACTGAGGTATCTGTGTTGATACATTCACAAGAGTACCTGCAAGCAGCATGAAATAAATCTACTTTAAAATCGAATGCTTGTTTTGCCCATTTAGATTTTTTCTTTGCCCTGTTGTGTTGTATCATTAAATTTCTTGTTCCATCACTGTAGGCAGTTGGAAATGCAGATGCAGATCTGGACCACAAGACAAATCCATTACTGATCTTACAGTTTCACAAATATTTTTTACCGAACACCCCACCACACTTCAGTCTCCTTCACCCGATTTTCTATAAATCTTGTGTTGTGATGCTTGATGCCTGTGTTACTCAAAGACTCCTCAGTGTGTTAACAGCAAGATTGTGAATTAAACAAATATTGTAGGCACCATTCACTGGTGTACAGTAGCTTTTGGAAGTGGAAATTAAGTATTGCCTACCATTTGTCTCTTACAGAAAGCTGTGGGATGCGAAGGTGAAAAAGCCAGCATCCAGGTAACGTATTTTCATTTCAACACTTGTTAAGAGTCACTTAAATAACTTTAATAAAACCTGCTGCAGCAGAGATGAAATAAAACATCTCACTTTGGGAGTCTATTCTTTTGACAGTGATCAGTCTTATTAAAATTATTCTTCTTTAGTTAAGGATAAAAGAAGGACGTTTTGCTCATATTGTTACCTGGATGGCAGCACTTTTGCTGGAGTGTGCAGGCCCTGATTATAGGTTTCACCATCGTAGAGAAGAGATCAGTATAGTGGTATGATTCAGGAATATACCTTACTCACTGCGCAGCTATTTATTTTACTTTTATTTCTTGTATTGAATTGCAAAAGGGCACTGTAATAAAGTAACAGGCTTCCACTGCTGTTGAGGGAGAAAGGTCCCTGCAACGATCAGTCACACACACATCAAGGCAACGGCTTGTTCCCTCTTCCCTGGCAGACTGAGCACCATGTCTCGGAAGAAGAGCTTCTGGGTGGAGAAGGTGAGCTGCCAAGGCACCGAGCCCAGCCTGTCGCAGTGCCATGTCCAGCTGTCCATCCCCCGCAGCCTGGTGCCCTGCAGGAATGGCATGCACGCTGTGGCCCGCTGTGTCCCGGGACCGCAGTTCAGGAAGAACCCTGGAAACCGGCCGCACAAACAACAGAGCAAAGAGGTGAGGCCCGGGGAGCACGGCTTAATAACCTCAGACCAGCTGCTCTGAAGAGATTGCATTTCTTCTTGATTTCAATCCTGTATTTTATCTGCCTGTTCAGTTTTGTAAGTGCATGCACCACTCAAGAAACTGATTTAAAGGATGGGATGACTGTGGTCTTGCTAGACTTGCTGTTTTTTTATTTTTCTTCTCTGTGTGCTGTGTTGCATTGTCGAAGTGTGGGATTTGTCAAACAGCAAAATTTGCTAACGTACTGCATAGTGTTTTTGCAATATCAGACGACCTGCTGATTCCTATTCTACGGATGTGTGTTCGCCAAACTTTCCTCCTGCCATAATTCTTGGACACATCTGAACTTGAGAAAGAGCCGGTCCACTGTTTGCCGGGTAGGGGGATGTGCGGCCCTGTGTGAGACGTCCTCTGTCTCGTGCCCCATGACAGCTGGCCGTGCGGTTGAAGGCGGGCGCGCAGCTGGGCGAGGGCCGTGTGGAGGTGCTGCGCGAGGGGAAGTGGGGCACGGTGTGCGACCACCGCTGGGACCTGCTGGCGGCCAGCGTGGTCTGCCGCGAGCTGGGGTTCGGCACCGCCAAAGAAGCCATTTCCGGAGCCTACCTGGGACAAGGTGAGCCAGTTTGTCACCGGCCTAGAGCTGGAGAGCCGTGAGTGAGCCACATGTGTGTGACATCCTGTTTCACAGACGACTTCCAAAACATTCCAAACTAATGGACTCATTGGGAATTAATTCCCTTGAAATCAGAAAATACCAGTTTTGTCATGTTTGTAACTTACAGCTGCAGACACAAATGCAAACTGAGTGTGAGGGGTTCAGAGGCTTTTTGACTCATTGATGGGAAATGTGCACCTACTGTATACAGGTTGATTTTAAAGGCATTGATATTGCACCATCTCGAACTATTTGTGTCTTATTTTATTGCCAGTTAGGGGAACCTTAGTTTTGCTTATCTAACAACTGTAATGCCTTGCTGCTGCTGAAATCCAGGGGGATTTGTAGTATCACTGATGCGAGTTTCGTCTAATATATCTTTAATATGTCTTCCTGGGACATTACGACCCTGACATTCAGAGATATGATTCTGAAATGTTGTTAAGATTTTGTATTGTGTGGAATTCCTCACTCTCTGTGAAGGGATGTGAAAAAACATATGGGATTATGCTGATGTAAGTGAAGCTTTTTGTTTCATTATTGTGGGTGGCTTCTGTTACAGCAAAGTGATGTACAGTATGCTTTGCCACTACTAAGAGTGAATTATTATTAACTCAAAAATAGTAAAATATAGGGCCCAGGGACACACAGAAGAGCAGTGGTACAATATACAAATTAATATTGTTTTAAGAGGGATAACTGTCATCAGCCACTGCTGCTGTATGACATAAACAAGGGTTTTAGAGTTGTAGAAGTCAAGATGAAAGCAAGCTTCCCATTTAAGTACCCAATGGGCTAGATGGGTGAATGGGATCCCCCTTTTTGTAACCCTTCTTATGTTTTTAATTGTTAGCAGGAAGCTGCATTTTAACTTTCCTCAGCATTGATTGAGGTTGTAATGAGATAAAATAAGCTTTTTTCAATGAGGATGTAATGATGAAGATTGAGACCGCGATATACAGTATGTGTTTTTTAAATACAGCTGCAGCCAATACTCCAGAAGGAAAGGAACTGTATGTTCACTGAGTTAATTAGTGCAAGCAGGATCGTGATTCATCCTGACCCACCATCCAGTAGTTATACACAGTCCCTTTTCACCATCAGTCTTTTGCTCTATGTCATGTCTGATTGTCTTTCTCTCACCATGGATCTGTCAAGAGTCTGGCCCTGAGTGATAACTAGACCTATGCCCAATGGTTAAAGGCAGGATAATCTACAGGAATTATTTTCATTGGTCAGGAAGAATGAAGTTTTTCACTTTTTTCTTAGTTTATTTCTGTGTGGTTACTTCTTCTGCTCTGTGACATTGAGAATGTGCGTTGACATACTGTACAGTAATTCGGCAGACAAGGCAGCTGTGGTATGTTAAATTGCAGGTTATCTCAAATGTTTCCATGCACTGCAGTCCCCTGCTCTGCTTCTGTCTGGAAGTGTCTGTGCTGGGACAAGGCTGACATTGAACTATGGCTGGTAGGCTTCAGAACAAGGTCATTTATTTCCATGTGCTTTAATTTCAACAGCAGACAGATGTCTTAGATATTAAATTACAATTGCTGGTGCAATTGGCCACAAAACATATTCTGTGAATGCATTACACTAGCACCCAGACAGGAGAACTAACAGTCTGAGTTGCATTGAAAGTTACAGTAAAAACATCAAAAGACGTTTTGCAATGCTGATTATGCTCTACAGCAGACGTTGGAAGCTCCTGGCACAGGCACCATAGGCCACCTCATGAAGAAATAATATACACTCCGACACAACACCTACAATACTTCATATCAGAAACAAGGCAGTGTCAGTGTGAGATAATACACCAAATCTGTGGATCTCAGGAAAAACAGTATGTACATCTGATTTGTAAAATAATTTAATTATATTAGGATGTTTAAATCTGAACTTTGAGGACTGCTTTATTTAGGACAACATCCTTATTTCTATGATGAAGAGGACTGTGCTTACTTCATTACAAGTGATGTATTAAAACATTTCAAATAAGAATTATTGTATTTAATTTTTGTTTGTATTTCTGTATTCAAAGTTATGGAAATTAGTGTTAAGTAGCTAGTGTGCTGTTTTCCGTGCAGTTTTACTGCTGTGAATACAGATAATAAACTGCATACTGTCTTGGTGACAGTCAGGAGTGGGATGACTGGGATGACTTTCGGTTGAAATCTTTTCATTAAAGTTTTACAAACAACAGAACTTAATTGCCAAGCTATAAAAATCCTTTGTTCATAAAAAAAAATATTTGATCATAAAAAATGTGTTCTGCCTCCACACACACTCTAAACTGATGAAAAATGGAAAAGGGAAATAAATGTATGAGATTACTTGAAATTTATTGACAGGAGAATATTCTCCAGTCAGTGATTTGACACCTACTAACAATTGTTATTATGCCTGATTATAGGTAGTGATCAACTGACCACAAAACAGAATGTTGCATTTAAGGGCAGGCAAACCAGTCTGGGAAACCTGAGCTTCTTTTAAGAAAAATAAAGTGTTTTTCTTTGAAACTTTGGAGACTAAAAAGGGATTAACTCCTTCTGTTTCCTTTTGGTATTTTTATTAAAGCAGCATTCACTGGCTGATTCAGATTTTAGGACTCAGTTCAGATTCATGGTGAGACAATGTTTTTAGTTCTGCTTAAGTGCATTTGGTTATACTGTATACTGTATTATCCTGAATGAAGGCGGTTTTAAAACTCACTAATTAGCAAAAGGTTTATCCCAATTACAAATGTTGTTGAGTTTTTTAGGAGCCGAAAGTATATTTAAGAAAGGCTGCAAATAGAAAATCAAAATACATTAGCCTGCTAAGGCTACAATTAGCAAAATCCCGAAGAAACAGCGGTTACCAGGGACCAGAAAAGAGAGTCACAATGCTGGGGTATTTTTAAAAATGAATACTGAGTGCAGAAAAAAAAACCTAAAGAATTGAGGAGATCAATTACTAGCAGCAATGAGCACTGGTGATCAAAAGTCCTGTTGGAACAAAGAAAAATCAGAAACAGTGGTACTCTAGGACCAGAATTAAGAGCTGCTGTTAAATATGATCTATTTATTACTTTAAGAAGTAGAAAAAATATGTAAAATATGGCAGAGCTGTTAAATTGGTCCCATTAAGCCAATAACTTCGGAGCTTGTTAAAACCTGGAGACAGACTCCCAGACATCCAGGACCTGGACTGCTCACCCCTGCGTTAGAAGAACTGGTCGGAGTAGACTCTGTGTAAAATAACTGAATAGATCATTAGATAATCTGCTGTAGATATATTTTTATGGATCTCATTGTGTCAATTTATATGGTTTGGTGGGGTAGCCATCTTCCAATTGAATAAAATAAGGTTTCTTGTGAGTAAAGAGGTAAAGGCCAGAGCTTCTGCCATCGGCAGGGATAATTAAATGTTCTTGAGGGGCACTCCAAGGAGGGCTGTGGGTAGGTAGGGTTCAGTACACAAGTGACAGCGTCTGATGTAAAAACAGCAGTAGGAGACAGTTTGTCAGGTGACTGAAGGTGGCAGCTCATTTACACCAGAGAATTGTGGGGAATGTGGTTTATACAACTTGTCTGAGCCTACTGCCTACCTATTCTGACTAAAGTTTTGAAGACCTAAGTCCAGAGTGGTTGTGGATCATGACAGTTTAACTTTGCATTAATGATGGGACTTTGAACTGTGACAATCTACAGGAAAATTGAGTTGAGATGTCAACTAAAGTTATTGGACAACTGTTTGAAAGGACATGTGTGGAAAGAAAGCTATCTCACAGAATAAATAATTGGAAAAACTTTACTTGTTTACTTGTTTCTGAACACACCTGAAGAAGGCACCATAGCCAAAACATTGTGTTTTCTCTTGTGTGTGTGCCAAGTCATCAGTTATACAAGTTCCTCTAACAGAACTGGTATTTCCACCGTCAGCTGACTTACTGAGGAGCACCATTAATTAGCGGAATGATCTTGCCCATCCCAATGATGCCTGTGTATTGCACTCTTAGGCAGCAGTGAAACTCTTCTCAGATGTACTGTAAGCAATCTGAGTCTGGAACTCTGTAGTCAAAAAGTCAAGCTACTTGAAAACAATGTTTTTATGTGCTGTGATTGCATCCAGATTTGGAGATGAAACTGGTCCCACACATTTCAGATCCCTCATCTCCCAGATGAGAGTGTGGTCAGGTGGTCTATACAGATAAATCCTTCTTGGTCACAGCAGGAAGCATAAGGGACAATTAAGCCCACACAAACAATTAAGAAGGGACTGCATCCAGTAGATCTGCATCCAGTTCCAGATGCTCAGAAAATAGAAAATTGAGTAGATTGGAGAACAATTACTTCTGCTGTCTGTGGAAACACAGAAAAGGGCATCCTCACATCCTGAATTTAAAAAATGCTGCCTCTCCCTGAAAACATATTTATGCAATGTTTTTCAGGAACATACTAACCTATTCTTTTTGTCATATATACAATCATTATAAACAATCTGTGTTTTTATAAAATGTTCTCTGTAAGGCCGACAATTACCAATTATTGTAATACTATCCTCACTGCTCGGAAATACAGTACTGCTCTTCTCTCTCTTTAATTTGTTCTCATGATCCTTTATGTTTACGCAGTTCCCCATTACATCAGTTTGTCTGTCTCGGAAAAGATCTGAGTATGTGAGTGCCTATCCTGTTTCCCTGCTCAAAGTGTTGGCCTTGTTCTTAAAATATAGGCTAAAAGAAATGATATGTGACAAAATCATAAGTCTGGCAGAGATCTTATCAACCCAATAAAGCAGGTAGCCAGTTAGAGAAAGCTTATGTAGGGGCCATTTTCATAAGATGTAAATACATTGCAGATCTCCAGTAGACAAACAACTGCCTCTGCAAATAATCCATGACACCTACATAAATTATGTTATTTATGTATGGTATGTTTATGTAAATGAAAGGCAAGGCTGTGGCATTTTATGACCTGATATAACCATTATAAAATCAGCCCTATTGTTGCAATGAATATGTCCACAGACTGCTCATAGACCTCATAGAGTGTTGCCAACACTGAAAGCAATACCAATGGGATTCTGTGTTCTCTGTAGGTATGGGACCCATCCACATGAACACAGTGCAGTGTACCGGCACAGAGCGCTCCATCACTGAATGCTACTTCCAGGATGTGTCCACAAGAGGGTGCACACACCACGATGACGCCTCAGTCAGGTGCAACGTGCCTGAGATGGGCTTGGAGAGCACGGTAAGGCCTAATGCTGATTCTGTCCATGAAAGAAACACATCTCTGAAATCTCAGTCCCAGATTCACCATTAAACAACATCTTTCTGGGGTATTTTTCAGTTGGCTTGGAGTTGGTGGGAGTCGTTATTCTTTATTAGTACGCCCTCCCCTTGATTAGGAACACCTGGTTTACTCATTTCCGTTGTAATGAAGCATGCTTTTTTGTAAGTGTTTTTGCACTAATAGATTTTTGCTACAATGAAGGCATATCTTTCGTAGCCAAACAGAAGACGCCATCCACATAGTGACCTCCCACTGCAGCCTTCAACGAGACAGTTCCTCGGCGTGTCTGCATTCTTAGATGTTTTACACGTTTTACTAATCTGTATTTATCTTGTTAACTACAAGCAATAGTATTCTTACTATTATGATCCAGGGCCCTGTTAGGGCAACAAAATAATATTGCGTGATTTTCTAGATCTTGTAACGCAATGAGGTTTTTGGTGTATTCATTTTCAACTTACAGTTTTTTGAAGAATGAAACGTTCTTAAATCGAGGGATAAGCGCATTTCTTGTTCAGCTTTTCCACAGAGACCCACTGACTACAGTAGGTAGTCAGTGGGTCTCTGTGGAAATCCGTAGTTAATTCCAAGGGACACCTTGTTTATTTTCTCTGCTCTCTCTTCTTTCCCTGCCTCTCATCCCTCCTTCTCCACACACAGGTGCGTCTGGCTGGGGGCCAGGCCCGGGGAGAAGGCCGCGTGGAGGTGCTGATGGAGGTGGGGGGGCGGATGAAGTGGGGTTCGGTCTGCAGTGAGTCCTGGGGGATCAATGAGGCCATGGTGGTGTGTCGGCAACTGGGTCTGGGCTTCGCCTCGCATGCACTACAGGTGAGCTGGAGACAGCAGAACGTAAGCCCTCGACTCCACAGGGAAACAACAGGGAGTGTCATTACAATATCCACCACTGATATTGTACTTCAGCAATATCCTCTACAGTTACAGACCCCCTACAACAAGACACATCAAACGCACTCTGCCAGCCTATGCTTACAGTGCTGTTTTAAATATGAGAAAACTATGATGGTGCACACTCAGAAAGAAATGTTTAAATTACCAAAGGGACTCTTAGGTCAACATCCTGAAAAATCTATTACCTGACATATCTGTTTGATTCATTCATTATGTCAATGAAGTGTGGTGCAAAGCAATAAAATACTGCATTACTTTTGGTGGTATATTGTAATGCAAAGGAGTGTTTTAATAAAAATAAATAGATGAGGTTACATAGTGGTTTATTAGTCTCAATAATAGTCCTGGTTTCTTCTTGAGAAAAAACAAATTACAAAGGTTAAATAAAAACACTCCCCCAATTGTCAGAATATATTAAGTGAGGTTACACATCTTCTACATTATAGTATTTCAAGAACAATTTGGAAGGGGAGGAATACATAGGCAATAGCTGAAATGATAAATAGCTATTCCACAAATTTCAAATAAGACACAAAATACATTACTGTACATCCAACTGTATCTAGTGAGCCTGCCTCTTAAAGTGGTGTTTAAAGGAGACACCCTTTGGCCCTTTATAAAATAAAACAAGAATGAGAAACCAAATGGTGAAAAAGAAATCAATAAGTATTTCCGCAGATATGAAGATATGGCTTGTTATGGCTTCTTTCCTTATATTTAGTTCTAATCCCTTCAGTGTGCAGTACTTGATGGGTTTCTGTTCACCGAAGAGAAATACAGTGGTGAAGATGGGCTACAAAGACATCTCTTGTTTTTCCTGTGTGTTGTTCACCTTTAATACGGTCTATTCCTGTCTTGTTCCTTGCTGTCCAAAGCTGTTAAGCCATCTGGTCTCCACTCCCCATACGCATCACATGTTATCCCTGAGACTGCTTGCACACTTCAGATTACAATTTGTAGAGCAAATTATAATTAGTTGCTAATACTGAGAAAAGTATTTTGAGGAGACCCTTTCTTTTGGTGCAGCACTAGCTCTATGCAGGTATGGCTGCATGGAAATGGTTTCACATTTTCCTTTTTCACACCACCGCTCAATGAACATGAAATTACAGCTGTGAGGTGCAATGGATCTGTGCTCAGGAATCTGCATGTAGGGTTAGATGAAGAGAAAAGTAAGACTGTAAAATCTGGGAAAGAAAGCAGACAAATAATAGGAAAATGGGTGGTATGTATTGCTATTCCACCTACAGTATTTAAAACTAAGTATTTAAAAGAATGAAAACCAAACAAGTTTACTCATATAGTCTCACTGAAGACACATAGTGGCTCATTGTGATGGTAGAAAAGGATCCCCTGCTACAGTCAGTGGTTTTGGAAGAATGTGTCTACCTAAAATTAAGAGCAGAAATGGAACAGCTTGGTCACCTAATTTTACAATATGACTTAGAAAATATTACTTTTTTCACCAGGCTGTAATTAAAATCCATATGAGGATGTTAATTTATGAAACAGGCTGTTTTTTTTTTCTTGAGGGCTCTTTGTTGATTTCACATACTGTATTTATGGAATGTGTGTTTTTTGTCCTGAAGGGTGGCAATTGCAGAGTTTTTGTTGATGTCTGAAGTTTATGAATGATTTGGGAGGAAATAAGACTTAAAAAAATGTTTATTCAAGCTGGGATTGGAAAGAAAAGTTACAATGGCATTGGTCTTTATGATGTAATTCGTAGTTGTTTAAAACATAAAATACGATTATATGCATTTTAAATTGGGCTCGAAACAAAAGATGAACCCTTAGTCGCAAATGCCTTAGCTAGTGAGCTCATGGCAAACAGAATGTAGGACTGACCAGATCCATCCAGAAGGCTGACTGAGTCTCTGACTCTCTGTGCTGCTGTGCGCAGGAGACCTGGTACTGGCAGGGTCACCCCGATGCCAGCGAGGTGGTGCTCAGCGGGACACATTGCACGGGCACTGAGCTCTCCATCCAGCAGTGCCGCAGGAACGGACAAGTCCACTGTCCTCGGGGAGGTGGGAATCGAGCTGCAGGAGTCACCTGCTCGGAGAGTGAGTCACCCCCCCTTGAATCCCTTCTGCAATTTCGGACCGCCACAGTCCGTGCACTTTAACTACACTGCAAAGCATGGGCCGTTCTGTAAGTCTCGGCTGTTCAGAAGAGCTCCTTCCGTAGACGAGTACAAAAGAAATTGGTCCTCTCGCTTGAACACAACAGTAAGATGGGGGTCAGTCCGCAAGACGTCAGTCCGCAGTGGGTTCCTGTCTCGTCTGGCCATGGCTGCGGTCCGCGTGTCGGCTGACCGTCTGTATGTCCCCTCTCCCCCGGCAGCGGCCCCTGACCTCGTGCTGAACGCCCAGCTGGTCCAGGAGACAGCGTACCTGGAGGACCGGCCCCTGCACCTGCTCACCTGTGCCCACGAGGAGAACTGCCTGTCCTCCTCCGCCGACCGCATGAACTGGCCCTATGGGGAGCGCCGCCTCCTGCGCTTCTCCTCCCGCATCCATAACCTGGGCAGGGCCGACTTCCGGCCGCGGGCCAGCCGAGAGTCCTGGACCTGGCACCAGTGCCACAGGTAGGGCGCAGCGAGGCTCCTGTCGAACGGCTGGAATGCTGTGCGGGCGATGCTTCCAGTTCTGATCTTGCTAAGTGACGTTTTATCACGGCACAGTAAATATTTTGCTTAATTAGTGCAATGAGGGCCTGCACGGTTAAATAGTCAATTCCTTTTCAGAACCTTTTCCTGGCGTCAGTCTAATTGCTTGCCACTTTATTTTCTAACATTAGACTTTCCTTACGTGAAACGTAAGGTCCAAATTTCCCCAAGTCACATTCTTTTCCTCTGACGTATCTGACGTAAATGTCCCTCATGTCGGTGCTGTTTGTTGAAGCAGACCCCTGATGAAAGATGAAAGTGTGTCCTGTCTGGAACCCAGGTCCCCAGCCAGCTCAGGGCCCAAATAACTGTTTCTTTACCCCTGACTGCAGGTGAAATTAATGAGCTGACTTTCTAACACTGCTCTCGCAATCAGTTGCCTGAAATAATTACAGGCCCATTCTGAAGGAACAAGGCAGCCCCTTGTGGGGCAGTCAGTGCTGTGAATAATCTCAGCCCAGCCCCTTCGTTAGTTTCTACAATAACACGGGCCTGGAATGCATTTCAAAGTGCTCCATTCAACAGTTGCACAAACAACATAGAAGCCCAACCTGCGGGGAAACAGGGGGCTTCTGTCAGAGACGTACAAGAGTACCATACGCCTGTATGACCAAGGGATGAGGTCAATGTGTTGAACTTGATAGTGTCCAGTTGTTCTAACCATTCCTGACTGGACGCCTTTCTCCGGGCTGTTGCTAGTGCAGTACACACCACTCATGGGTTAACACATCACAGAAATCTAGGAAGTCTGACTTCTGTTAAATTTGTTTCGAAGGTAGAAATATGGCTGTTTCTGAGGCCGTTCTTTGTTCTTTGAAAGGTATGATTGTAAGTTTGAACATTTATCATGTTATCAAGTGGGATTTTATTAGCCATGTGTGAAAAGGTTGGAACTACGTACGACACTAGTTGAATTAAGAGAGCATTTAGTTATGGTTTGTTGGCCAGAACTGAAGCCAAACAGATTTGTATTGCTTGTGTAGCCATTTGTACATTATCTGGCAAAACAACCCAGTCCACAACCCAACCAAAACTCTTAAATTCTTTGCAGAAAATTCAAGCCAATGTGTAAAACAGACTTCTTTCAACAGAACTTGCTTTTTTCTACAACTTTTATATCTTAACATTTTTCACATTTTATTAGGAATTAAATTCTGCTTTCTAAACAAATGATTATTTTGCTTGGTGTCATGGCATTTAGGGTCCATTCTGACCTGGTCTTCTTGTGTGGTGTTTGAATGTAATGATTGCATGTGTTCTTGGTCAGTGCTCTGGTTTCCTCCCAAAGGTTGAAAACTGCTCTTTCTAGTGCAGTGAATCTCTAAATTGTCCCTCATACGCATGTGTAAGTGTGTCCCCATCGCCCCGTCTGCTGAGGTAGGCTCCAGTATGCCATGACCCTCTGCTGCGTAATTGGTAATTATTGAATGGATTTTTCTGATATGGTCTTCAGATTATTTTTCTTATTTGTGCAGTCACACTAACCCCTCTGGTCTCTGCAGGCATTACCACAGCATTGAGGTATTCACACATTATGACCTCCTAACCCTGAATGGGACGAAAGTAGCAGAAGGCCACAAGGCCAGCTTCTGTTTGGAAGATACCCACTGCCCTGATGGTAGGTCATGCTTTTGTCTGTGTTTTAGCAGCATGAAAAGGAAGCTGCTGTTATCAACTTTGTATTTCAATTTTAATAACTGAGTTTATGATAATAACAAGGTCAAGTTAATAACAGTAGTTCATGACAGATATATCAGGAAAAGTCGTGGTAAATTGGGTTGCTTATAGTTACAAAACTTACAGCTCTCAATATGCTCCAAGCATTTTATCTTCCATTTTGTGGTGAACTGTGTTTTTTTTATTGGCAGGACTTCAGAAACGCTATGCCTGCTACAACATGGGGGATCAGGGCATCTCTGTGGGTTGCTGGGATACATACCGTCATGACATTGACTGCCAGTGGGTGGACATCACAGACATCAGGCCAGGGGACTACATTTTCCAGGTTTGACCAAAAATGACATGCTCAGGTCACACTCAACACCCACACAGATACATACTGTACAGTTCATACTTTTCTCAAAGCCACAGTACCCCTTGAAGAAAATAAATCACATATTTGGGATAAGGGTCAATAGGTACATCGTGTAGTCACCCACCTTGTTACTGCTAAATACAGTACAAACAGAGGAAAACCCTATTCTCATCCATTTCCCTATATACTATCAATTGAATACTTCATACTTCATTCAGCATTGTGGATAGTTAACTACTTTTCCCTCTTGAAACGATAACTCCGCAGACCCAGATATCAGACTGCACAGTGAGATCTATACAGCAGCATTTTTAGGGACAGTTAGGATAGGCTTGAAGAGAAGATGCTTAGGCTAATTAACACAACTGGAGGAAAGGGTATGTGATGTAAGACAGGGAAAACCTTATATTAATATTCTTCTGCCTTTCAAGCATCTTCAGAGCTATTCCAGATAAAACAATCAAGTAAGATAGCTATAAATAGATGTTTTTCTATAGTTCAGCGCATTCAGCACAACTTAATTACAAAGCTGTGGAAAGCCTCGACGCTTTGTTGTGGAAGCTTATGTTGTGGTAACGCAAGGAAAGGTCAGGCGTCAGGCTGGAATCTCTCCAGTCACGTTCACACAGGAGAGAGAGGAATAAGGGATACAGTTATGTCATCAATGTTTTGTTAATTCTCTTAATGGTTTACACCTGTGACATTTCCACAGCATATCCCACCTCTTATGATCCAAACTCGGTGGCCCTCTTGATGACTTATTTAATAATTTGCCAATGAGATCTTTTCAATGAATTCCACCTCTGAAACTGTTGGATATTTTTAAGTGTCCCTTAAAATCATCTTAGTATTTTAAATTACACAGGCATCTTAGGAAATGAAAACAGTTTCTGAAAGTAGCAAATACAAACTCCTGTTCAATTAAGGATTTAGTGAAGTAATGGAAAGCTCATGCCAGAGGAAAACCACAAGACTCTGAGGTCATGAAGACCAGGGTTCAAAGGGTTCAGCCTGGAATTTCAACCCTTGTACAGAAATAGTACTGGATTATCCAAAAGAAGGGCCAACATATTATACAGTATATTTACATAAAGCTTACCCTTGTGTATATCTTAGGGAAAGATATACATTTGTTAAATTATTAATTATTTTTTTTCAGTCCCTGTCCCTCTTTGTGTTTGTGAAATAAGTGTGTGCTTTGTCTTGTGTTTGCTTCCTCCATGATTCGTGTATGGCTGGACATGATTCAGTCCGTTTCATTACCATTAGCTCAAGACAAGAACAGAAATAACAATCTGAACAAGTGCCGTGACCAAAAATGCCTGTGACATTTCTATGACCTGAATTAGGCCTTGTTCACTCAGAGGTTTCCTTCTAATTCAAACACTAATTGAACAAAATGGAGAACTTTTTTGTACAGATGTCTGAAGTGAATTTCATCTGAGTGCCTGGATCGAGTTAAGAAGCTCAGTTGTAAATATGAATTATCATTTCCATTGAAAACTGTGGCAGTCAAAGCTGGAATTCTTTGGAATTGTGCTCCCACCTTCCCATTGGAGAACCTTGCTTTATCACTGCAAAAGTCTTCATTCTCCAGAGCTATCTCACAAGCAGGCGCATTCAGTTGGCAGTCAGGACCACAGGAGCCATCAGGAGATAAGAAGACGTGTTATACACTGTCATTTTTTGAGTAAGGATTTGGCTAAATTCACAAGATTAGGCTCAAGCCAGGAAAGTTTTGGGAACTTGTTTTTTCTTTGGTTCCTCTCTTTTTTTTTTTTGAATGGGATTGGACCTGTATTTAAGCAGAGTGTATAATTTGGAGCACTGCTATTAAGAAAATGGTTCAGTGACATGATCAACAAGCTGGCAGGGCAGAGGAGGCACTTATAAAACCGGTTCGAAAACATGCTCTTATTTTAGGTTCGGTGCAGCGAGAGGAGAGGGAGAGAGCTATGCAGAAACACAGCTGGTCTCATTCATGCTGTACTGGAACACTGGCACTCTGACTCGTGTTCACGAACAAGGCTGTACAGCTAATGAGGTGGTCATGACATACCTCAGATAGGAATCCAAGGGCCTGGCTTCTGTTGAAGTCAAGTATGACCCACAGAATTAAAGGAATGCTTTTGAAAATGGCATTATCTCTAAGACTCCTTTCATTCCACCTCTGTCACTCGCCATCCCAATTCCTTCAGACCTTTCTTTCTCTTTGCTTCCTACCGATTCTGTGCTTACATAATCCAGAGGTGCAAGTGAAGCAGTTGTTTTCTAAAGGGCACATTTTATTTTTGAGCTTGTAAAAAACTAGACAAGATCCGTGCTCTGTCATCATCTCTAGCCAAATGAGATAGGAAATGGTACGTCTGAAGTCAAGCTTGTATTTAAAAACAAAATCCATACAGCCCCTTGTAATAATCTCAGAAACATCTTTAGTGTATATGAAAACAGCATGCAACATAAATAAAAAAGATGAAGCAATTTTTTTCCCCATGTTTCTATTGAATTGTCTACATGTACAGTATTAAAATTAATGATGACTCCCCGGCCATGATGGTCATATTACTACAATATACTGTAGATCTGTTACGAAGTACATAGGCATGATAAAATATATTAACAACATAGAATGTGTCCTGTACAATTACAGGGTGTTTCTCTGAATTTTTACTAAATCCTCAAAATCCTCAATTACAGAAATATGAATTTATGCACCATAATATAGAACCATCAAATACAGCTTTGTAAAGTACAAGAAAATTTGAATTTACAATGGCAATTATGGGAATCATTGTTAACTGACAATAGGTAATATGTGTTGGAAATCATTTGTTTTCATTAATACTTTACAATAAAGTAAAAGCCACAGCTCTCTTCAACTGCAATTCCTAGGGGTACTTTGTTACATCAAATTGCAAATAAAAATATAATGGTGTCATCCAAATAAAATTAATAGGGATTTATCCCTTGACCTTTAAACTCTTAATATAGGTCAGAAAATTATCTCAGGTTTATTGTGCATATGAGTCAGGCAGGAAATTAAAGCAATCCCAGCTATGAGGGCATTTAATTACAGGAAATTTGAAAATTTAAAATAGAACTAATAATTATTCTAAATGATGTCCTTGAAGGTCAGTATTGCACACAGTGAAGTGGATGGTAGGACAGCACGAATATAACATTTCTACAGAGATTAAGAGTGGAGAGCAGGACAGGAAGACAGCACTGAGCACAATGCAGTCTGTTTTTGTATGGACAAGCTTTAGAATGTCAAGCCCATGAGGAGCTTCCACACCCAGAACATTCAGCTTGTCCTCTTCCACCTAAATGGTCTTTTTATCGCCAAGGTCAGCAAACAAATCTCCATTTTACAGAATCACTCTGACTGAAACATCTTTTTTCAGACAACTACTGCACACTGCCAGTCACCTAAGCTCCAAAGCCATCTTGTCCACTCTCTCCCCTAAGCTGCCGTGTCAACTGCAAACACGTCCAGAAGCATGCGTGAGCAACACATGGCCCCATTGGCCATTTTGACATCACCCCGAGGGCATCATATCTGTCCTGGAGTGTGTGTGTGTGTGTGTGTGTGTGTGTGTGTGTGTGTGTGTGTGTGTGTGTGTGAAAAGAAAAAATCTGTCCTGGAATCTCTCCTGTTGCATGCTTGCAGAAAATGCCCTTCCATTCAGTCTGAGAA